ATCAATCCGAGACGATTGGTACCAAAGTTATCGAAAAAGGAGCATAAAACCATAATTTTCACTGCCTAGTTCGTTCCAACTTGATAAATTTATGAACAAAACGAATTTAATGACCGAATAGATTTGATAAGGAAATAATTCAATGAATGCGTGTAAACATAAATGAATGAATATCTGAAGAATTAAAATCTGAAAAACTAAATACCAATCAAGTCGAACAAACAACGAAAAAATTACTCACTAAGCGATGTATCTCACAAAAACTATAAAGCATCGGCTCGATTCTCAAAAGAACTTTTTTCTTTTGCGCATTCGTCAGTTTATGTGCCGTTTGGATGCATCGTAACGATGGACTGCAGTAAACGGCATCGAATTCGATCGCTTTTGCTTGCAGCGCTTCGCTGATCATTTCGCACATCCTGAACTGATTACTCTCTTAATTGCGTGACGATAACTATTCGTATCATCTTCAATCAGCTCCTAAAACGACCGAAACTGAAAATTCCTTGCGCAAAAACCCATATGAGATTGTAGTTCTTAATGTAAACCTTCCAGATCATTTTAGAGAATTTGCGAAAGATTTCACAAAATGAAGTAAAATTCAAAGTGAAACATCGCACTTCGAGCCAATCACAGTGAGTGGAGGATCGTTTTTGAATGCGCTCATCGAGTTACGATGCGGTAATTCCAGCGGCTGATTCAAGTCATATCTGCAAACCTTTGCATCGTATCATTCATTTTCACTGATGAAGTTTATCAGTTGAGGATACAACAATGTGCTAATCAAATTTCATTCAAATCACCAAATTCGAATTTTTATCTCGATCATTTGAAACAAACTCGCGTGATGATCTCTTAATGTATCAGAAGGATTGAAAATGAAACGAGCTCACCATCGAAAAACTAGAAATTTATCAAACAAATTCTTGTTTCATCAATAAAAATGTTGTTCCATCTAGCGTAGTCAATTAATGACCGAAATGTTGAAATTTCATGTTATCTCAGTTCGTCAACTACATTAAATCAAAGACCTGACAAGATCACAACGTTGTTTTTATACCAAATAAATAACAGATTTTGCAGGGTATTTGAGACAAACCTTTCATATTTTCCATTCACGAACGATTTTGCCATCCAATGATCACAAATATTTGTCAATGATTCCGAATTTCGGAACAGAAACAGTCGCATATCATTCTAAAATTTCAGTCTCTTTTTCAAATTGCAGAATTTCAAGTGCTTTATCTCGGAGATTGATGCAATCCAACTGCACTTGACATTTTCGGCCAATCGCCCGTCTAGATGAAAAAGCAGCCGAATCCCATCACACCGCTTCCCTCTCCTCACCTTCCGCATTCCAGTTCGTTCCAAATACAACGGTACTTAAGGGCAACTTGCAAGAAAGATTTTTAAAAAAAGTTCTTAAAGAAGTTAATTAAACAGTTTGAGGAGTAATCCATCTAACAATAAGAAGTTTATTTACGAAGAAGTTGAGAAGTTTCATCGAAATCGCTGCTACTGCTGCTGCTTCTGCATGCCATTCATGTTCAATGATGAGCGATACGGCTCATTTTGAGAGGCATTGCTCTAGAACGTAAAATTGACGGAATTCTCAGTGCGGCAGACGCTGGTAAGCTGACGAGTTTAGTAATTTCATCCATGAAAATTTACTTGGTGCGGAGTCATCGTTGTGTACAACAAAGCACATAAAGACACTTCTAAGCAATGCACATGTTTCGATGAGTTATATTCACATATTTTGGTTGTAACGAACCGAATCCTGGAAACCTTTCTTCATCGCTTTCAATTCGTTCTCTTCTTCGCTATCCATTTCGAAAAGCGATTCTCGCATTGAGACGTCGCTGGAGCTTGAAGCATAGAATTCAAGTGTGAAATTTTTTAAAATTCTTTCATATTCGAAGAACAGTTCAAAACTAACAAAAATACTTCGATGAGATGAAGTGATATGAAGGTTTCGATGAAATTTCTAAATATTTCACTAGCTACGTATAGAATATGAAAATGTACAGGTGGTGTTCAGTAGAAACCATTTTTAAGCAGTGAATCACACATCTATACATCATATTTCTTCACGACGACTGTCATGAGATGTTTTGAAATTTACAAAAAGTATACAACTTTTAATGAAGGAT